TTTCTCACTTCAGAAATAAGTCAGTCAAGAGGTTTGTCAGATTAATGGAATTAGATTCCAGTGAATATGGCTACCAGAGAAGGAAGGGATAATACTACAGGTACCTCCACGAAATCGGTTTTAAAAAATAAATCAGCATACCGTGATGAAAACATGCTCTAAACGTAATGAAACAATAGTTTTATCGTCAAAATCTTTGTTATTATTGAGACGAAAGATCAAAGTATTTGGGGTGTATTTTTAATCCTTTTTAGAACATTCGAAATTTTGAATCAGTGGATGTACTCTGTTTAGAAGAGCAAATTTTAGCGTCTTGTCTTGCGGCAGACACATTAAGTTGGAAATATTTGCAAAAGTCAAATAATTGTCGCATTTTAAAGAAATTTTCCGGACTTATTCACAAATGGAATTTAAAAACAGTTTTTATAAGAAAATCATAAGTTTTTTGGGGTTTTTTTTATATGCGAGTTCCCCTCCCTTTAAATTTATGAAAACTTGAGAAATTCAACGTGAAAATTTTTAGGGACTATTAGACAAAACAGAAATTTGCTGTGAATCGAAAAGTAAAAAACGCAATAAAACAGACATTATTTAATTAGAAAAGCGTTTAAATCATTTTCTGAATAATATATATATATAGTTATTTTCTAAGCGTAGCTTAGATGTTGCACAAGGCCGAAAGTATGGGGTACCTGATAGGGATCGAACTAACTTTTCAGTCGTAACTGATCTAGAGAGACAAGCTTGCTAACCATTACATCACGCCGAGGTGCCCCTGAATTATATATATATATATATATATATATATATATATATATATATATATATATATATATATATATATATATATATATATATATATATATATGGGCAATTGTCTTAAGAAAGAAAAAAAAATCGATTAAACTTGAATTTTTATAGAAGTCCGGCGCGTGCAACGGCCGAAATGCCGTGAATATGACAATAAAGATGAGGACAACAGACTGAATAATTTAAATAATTTAAACGTTAGGTACTGGGATTTTGAGGAGGTACCTATATAAATGTTAATTCAGATAATACAATTATAATTTTGAAACAATGTAGAAGTAAATAAAAAAAAAAGAAATAAAATACTAGAAACTGATTGACCGCATTGCTTTGGCTGGAAATAAAAAAAGAGGAAGAAAAATATTTTAAATTGCTTTGAAAGAAAGGTCGCATAGCTGACATATAGGACGGGCGAATCCTTACATACCATTTGTTGGACAAAAATATTCAGGCGTATCATTTGTACATTCAAAGTTATCCAAAGACAGAAGGTATAGTTTTAGTTCATATTTGATTCCCAAAATTTGGCTTCAATTTAATAATTATGATATCTCAATATTTCATAAATTGATCGAAGGAAATGAAAAACAAAACCTCGTAACCTTAAGCAGAAAGATATACATAAACATAAGAAAATCATATAATTTATGCTTAATTCTTTGCACTTATTTTCCTGTTAATTAGTACAAATGATGCTAGCTATTTTGACACATGTATGTTTACACCATTTTTTACATTTGCTTTATTTTCCTATTTTTCGAGAATTTTAGTTATGGAAAGCATTAGATTCACCGAGGAATAAAAGCACATATAGCAGTGTTGGATTGTTTTGGCTTATCAACACTTTGAAGTTTCATTAAAAACCGAAATGCAGTTCGGTAGGTTGGTTACAGTAATCGATGTTCCTTAGCTGAACGAATCTAAGTATTTACAAGGGTTTGATGCTGCTTAACTTTGGTGATCGAACGGGTTTGGTTTTACAGAGACTTCGATAAACTGTCATTGCTATATAAACGATTTTGGTTCGAGCCTAGACAGATGATACACACACAAACCAGAAGCGATGCTAATATCTTGTGAGGTCTATCTCCAGTTTCATGTGTTTAGAAAATGTGAAATAGATATCAGTTTGCATTATTAGACCTCACCCGACCTGATGGCCACGTGGTGGGAAGGACACGACATATCGAGGTAGAATTTAAGCTATAGTAGCACCCCAGAAAAAGTGTTAACAAAAACACTTAAATGATACTAGAGAATACGGTCTATCACTGTATCAAACACTATAGCAGCCAGTCTACCGTATTTGCTACTACTACTACTACTACTACAGTCGAGTGCGATTATTTTCCCGCAAAAATGAGACTGCTGTTTCCTCGGTCAATAAAAAAAATCTGTCAGCTATATTTTAATCTGAAGGAGGTTATCCATCTGATGTTACCGGTTTTCGGACCTAGGCAGAATCTGATGTGGGAGCTCCATTTTCTTACTATTTTATTTGAACAAGACAGGCGAGAGGTGATGTGATCGTAGAATTCATGTTGGTAGACCGCAGGTTGACGAGAGGTGAAGTCGTGCAATAAACCATAGCGCAGTAAATCGAATGCTTTAACAGTAAATGAGTTAGACTGCATACAGTTGTTTGGAAAAATAATATCGTCGTCGTTCGGATATTAAATAAAACACTAGGTCAAAAGAAATTGAGCATTCGATAAACTTCATGGAACGGTTAGTATCTACAAGCATACGGAGAAGGTTCGTGAAAATGTTGAGTATCGTTGACATTATCTACCACAAGCAACCCTCCAACATCCTGGGAAAATATAGAATTCACTGAAAAGCTAAAATAAACTATGTATGGTTATCCTTTCCGATTTTGCTCGCTAATCCGTGTTGTAAATTGTTGTTCAGGCACATCTTTGCCTGAGCTGTGCTGAGCGGGTCATATTTAAATTTTCCTCGAGAGAGCAGATAATATGGCGTGATAAGTAGTTAGAGAGTACGTTATAATCCGCGAACACGATGCGTCTCGACAATCATCAAAAGCTTCAGTAAAGTTCAGTTTACATTATTTCATTGAAAGGTCATAAGTCAATGGGAGCAGATCGGATAAATTTTCAATTTGCAATAGGAAAACTATGCCGTTCTATTTTAGAACGCTCTCTAGACGCTTTTTTAGATTATAATTTGTTTTATGAAATTCTATGGCCTCTTTGCGTAGAAAAACGTGTGGTAGTAAACTGATTGAAGAGAATTACATTTCAAGAAAAATGCAACTTGAGAAATTTGGAATTGGCTCCTATTTTATTTATTTATTTATTTTTTAAACTGTCAGTTGTAACTGAGAGAAAGAAACATAGGACCTGATAATATATTATCTTTTAATTCGAAGTATTCCCTACCAGAATAAGATAGAGTACAGACTTAAAATACAGTTATTAGTACTTCACTGATTGTACGAAAACCAGAGATTCAACCTGACATGGGCGAAAAATACCATTGCAAAAAAAAATAAGTTTATAATTCTTTAATATTAACATCATTTAAAATGCTTCCCAAGCCGTTTTTAAACATTTAAATTACCAAACGTTAAAATCTTTTTTTTTACCTAAATTTTTCATCCTCTTTTTAAACCCTAAATACATCTTCTTTCTTTTTTATCCCTTTTTTTTTTTTTTCTCTTTTCTCTCCTTCCCTTTCAACATATCATTTCCATTAAGTTAACCGATCAAATAGGTCAGTGATGGGTCCCTCCTTCCTCAATACTAAGTATGATAGAAAGAAATATTAAAATAAACCCTCTCTAAACTCGACTATATCTCTCACACCATTCCTCGCTACACTATGTTAAATTCAATAAACTTAATACTACCCGTCAAAAGTGTAAATTTCATTTTTTGTTTCACCTTTTGGAAGTGATGTCTGATGATTTAGCGTCCTTTAAAAGGTCTCTGGTCTGTTTTTCTTTAAATTATTAGCTCTTATTGACCTCTCAGGATTTCATCCTCCTTGGGACTACCCATACGGATTACCAAGTTTTTCGTGAATTATATATATATATATATATATATATGAAAATATTTTTGTAGATACAAAAATTAATAACAGAAATGAAAGTCCGGGGCTTAATAGTATTTTGACATATTCAAAAAAAAACCGGTTTCGCCCCTGCTGTTCAGGCCTAACGGGAGATTCAACTTTAATTAAAATACTAGAAAATGTGCAAAGAGAAGGAAAGAAAAAAGATGAGCTCAAGGAGCTTCACAAATAATATTTTCACCAACAAAATTTTCACGCTGTTTACACAGCGAAGGATTGCGGGACCCAATATAAAGTGCCTCCAGCACCTTGAGGTGAAATAAAGGTGCGACCAGCAAAAAACAGTGAACCAGTCAGCACTAAAATTAGCAGCATACCCTCTGTTATATATATATATATATATAACGTTTGTGTGTGTTTAAAACATTGCAACAAAAATTAATTCCGGTTTTTACAAGGAATTGAAGCAAATTTTAGCAATTTTGGAAATTGAATCAATTAAGTTTAATATATGGTCTGACAAAATTAAATGCCACAAAGAAGAGTAATATAAATATCTGTTGCTTACTCTCATCTTCATCTATTTCTCTAAATTCCCCTTTCTTTGTCACGTAGGCATACACTAGGAGATTATGTATGCATTAGAGAGATGGTAGAAGAGAGTATGTGAACGCGCGTTATTCCAGATTTGCGTATAAAATCCAAAACTTATTCAGTTAAATAAAACAAGTAGAAATATGTTCTAGTTAGACTTCATGATTACTGAGGGTTTTTTGAAAATGGCAACTATAAATCTCAAATTTGGTCAAGGGGGATTTTGATTTTAGTTATATTTGTACGAATTACAAGCACATTCGTGTAATCAAAAGACTGTAATAATGGCGGTATTGAATGTTTTTTTACGGTTTATCCACCTTTTGTTGGTTCTTTAAAGGTAGAAAGCATTTTTAAATGAAACGAACTTTTTGAGAGTGATTTACTAATACAAAACCTACGAATTAAACTACAAGTGCTGGCAGAAGAGGTGAATGCATAATCTTGCCAAGTATATTTGTCTGTAAGTTAATATATCGAAACTGACTGGAATTGGGACTCTGCTCCCTAATTAAACATTCCGAGTTGTTATCAATTACACCACCCTTAAATCCAAGCTTACAGCACCTGATATTCCAAAGCGGTCACCCATCGAGGTACTGATCAGGCTCGGCCTTGTTTAACTTCGCTGATTGTACGAGATCCAGTGTTTCAAGCCGATATGGGCGGAAATCAAAGAATTGACGTAGAAGTGTGCGAAAAGATCACAATAAACTTCTAGCTCATTGTATGCAATATTAAAAAAAAAAGTTATTTTTATTATTGTATTAAAAGACCATACTGAAAAATGAAACTTATGTTTGCATATGTTATTTTTTTAATACTTTATTTATATATATATATATATAATTTGTAGGAGTGGACATACATACAGACGTACGTACATACAGAGGTAGACAGACTTCAGAGCCAACAGGGTAGGCAATTTAAAATTAAGAAATGAATTATATATTTACATTTCCTTAAATCGAGTGTTAAAACACTACACAATTACGCAGGACTAAATAGAACATGCCTTAATCAAGAGAAGCGCCCAGATTTAGATTTAAATAGAAGAATTTCATACATGCACTATTATATAAAATAAACTGTCTATAGTACTATTTGGTAAAGTTCTGTTGAATTCGCTTTTTTTATTTATTTTAGTATTAAATTTTAAAGAGTCTGATTTGAACAATGTCGTTGTTTCTTAAGTATGTATCCAAACTCCCAAGTATGAGTTACATAGCGGTTATTTCGTTGTTAGACATATGTATTAATTAAACATGGGTTCATGTGTAACCATTATGTAATAGAACGCATCTTGACAAATATGACGTTACAATTCCAACGCGTTTTAACACTATCAACTCACTGAAGCGAATTTTACTTAGCATGGTTTGTGTTCTTTGATGTAAAGTGCATCCAAGTTTTCTAAATCTTTTTTTTCCAGTTTGTGTGACAGATCATTTGAATTTTTGACGAAAAGCTGGTAAATATTATCATGTGCTTCGTTGAATTTTGTTTGCACATTACGCTTGCCAATGGGAGATGACTGGCCAATCAGCGTTCCAATTCTGTATAAGCTATAAACATGTTATAATATTATCGCCTTCAGCTGTCACTTTTTGCGACTTCTAACGGATTAATAAAGAAATATGTCCGAGATATTTGATTCACTTGCGTATGTTTAAATTGGATATGTACCTTACCCTAAAAGCCAGGATGAATCTAATACAAATCTCTATATAATCAGCACAGACAATATTAATGTTCAAATGAATGCCTAGAAATTGTTGAAAAGACTCAAATGACAACATTAATAATCTGGTAAATGGTAATATCAGAAGTTTATTTGTAAGGAAACATTCTGCGTTCAGTGACGTAGCAGCTAATGATGCTTTCTTTTGAAATTTATAAAATGTCACTTAAGATAGTTTTAAAAAGTCCAGTAGCTGTTATCTCTCTTTCTATTACTGATGGGGGACTTCCTTCCCTTAGCGTCAAACTTTAGCATATTGATGAAGTCATTACTTTCTCTTCGAGTTACAGGTATCCATTCATCTGTTTTTACTGAAATGCCTCCAGTGATGGGTTTTCTGGTATTCGGTACAATTTTATAACGCCAGAAGCATGGTCCTCACTGAGATGTATATGTTTCACTCAGTCGAAACAACTTTTAATCATAGATATGAAAAAGCGGTTTTATACAACTGACATTTTAGATATTTCTGAATGAGTTTGCCGCCATGCATGATATCCACATCAATGTCTTGATCAGATGAAACTAATTAATCAATTGATTCAATTTTTTTTTTTTTATGACAATGTTTTGTTTCGTAGGGCTTCGGGGTGTTCAGCGAAACTGCCTCTAGCCTAAGCTTTCCATGTTCAAATTAGTGATTTTTATGTGCGATACAAACTGCCAGGAAATTTTCTTACCACCGTCGCATGGTTCCTCTGGCTTTTCTACAACTATTTTCAATGCAGTTGCTCTGATGAGCTTCCTTCCTTGGTGTATCTAATATGAATTTAAGTGTACTGCTATATTCGCAATTAGTTCTCACCGTTTTATGGCTGAAGGAGGTCGATATAATGGTATGTTCTATTCTAAGTTTAATTTCTTACTTCTGTGGAAAACTCATACCGTTTCTTGCTTCCTGTCAACAAATCGTGGATTCCGGGATGAAATCCGGTACCAATAAATAACAAACACCAAGAATGAATATAGGAAAATAAATGTATTAACGTAATAATACAAACTGGTAATGCAGGTTAGTAGTTCCAGGAATACGGGTTAGTAGCAATATATATATATATATATATATTTGGTATTGAAGATATCGCTGTATGACTTCTTACTGAGTCTACGTGCTCGACTCACTGTGACTTGCTTCTTACGTTCGTTCTACGCGCATGTTAACACTGTCACTCTTGTTACCTACAACCTCATGCTCTTCCTTTGGTCTTCGACTTCTGTCGGGTATTCACGTAGCAGTAGTATATATATATACTGGTGAGTCCATTTGTGTAAAAAGGAGAACCCCTCAACAAATAACAACATTTTGTTTTTAATATTTTATTTAGTTTTTTTGCATATTTTTGTAACGTATAGTGGCTATTAATAATTAATCATAACTCATTCCTAATGTTAAGATAAAACAGGATTAATTACGAACCTCCAAATTTGAAGAACTTAATAACCTGGCAAACTTAAAAGAGCAACGGAAATAATTAACCATTTCACGCTACTTTTCTATAATTTTGTTAGTAAGGGGGCTATAGGTTATAGTCCGGTAAATCCTAAAGTTGCAAAAAATCAAAACATAATGACGAAATACATACATAATTCGACTTTATATTCCATTTAATAATTAGTAATAAAACACTATTAAGTCATTAGCCTGACACTTTAATTTATATTCCTACTTATCGAAAATATATATATATATAATAAAATATATATGACAATTATTCTGTGTGAAACTCAGTGTGTGTGTTACAAATTTTTCCTTTAATGGCTAAATACTGGAAATCCAATAGAAATTAGATTTTAGTTTGTGTTTAAAAATTCTGCAAACAGTTTTATTAGATATTTAAGTTTTAAAACTGTTTGGTTGAATTTTCTTAGTTTATTCGCAAAACACGTCTTGTTTAAATTTCCTGTCCCAACAAATATTCTTCAATTCTTATTATTCTAGATGTTTAAAAAGCATAACGTTTTTTGGGTTTTTTTATTTTAATTTTGAAATTATTTTTTAATAATTTGAACATTATTTTAGTGGGTATCTATTGATTGGTTTTTTACTAGATCATTTATTAAATAGTGTTTTTATTTTTATAATGAATAACCTGAATATTCAATTAAATAAATTAAATGAAAACATTTTTTCGTAGAACGATAAAAAAACATATCAAATCAAAAACCGTCGAGTTAACCGTCTTTTGAACTCACGGATGAGACACTAGAATATTTTGAACTAAACGGTCTTTATTTATTTATTTACGTATGATCAAATATTGCACTTGATATGAAGCACAATTGAATTAATTGCATGCATCCAAAACCGAAATAAAAGGTCGATGAAAATACTAATGAGTAGACTCATCGTATTTATACGTCACTATAACGACTCCAACATTTTTTTAACAAGGCATATTTTACGTCTGTGTTCCGTCAGTTGTATTAAAAATTAAATTTGACCCCGTAATCATTTTAAATTAATTGAAAAAAAAAGGTTATTTAATTTCATCCGTCAAGGCAAATTATGTTTGAACAAATAAGTTCCTTAATGCGGAGCCAAAAGCCGAGCCTCGTCAAGAGATAAAATTTCCTTAGACCACCATAATCGCTTTTCATGGCCTGTACCAAAAAAAACCATTTTTGCCCTTTTGTTTTTTTAAAATAAAAGCTTGAAGGCAGAAATTTTACATCACAGCTCAGATTTCTCCAATAAATTTTTCAGAAAAAGATAAATTATTTTTTTGAAGATTTGTTGAACAGGAATTAAATTTTTTTACCTGATTTTTCGAAAAAACTATTGTTTTTTTATTTCAGTTTTTATATCCCAACTTAAATTTCTAATGTTTTATAAATAAGTGTTTCGCTATAGAATGGTTTATGTATTTCACTGCCAAATAACAGAAAACAAAAAAGACTTTCAACAGCAGCAAAAACTAAAATAATTTTCATTTTTATTTATTAAGAAGAAAAAATGAATTGATAAAGAAGTTTAATGCCTTTTCTAATTAAAGGTTAATAAAGAAAAAACCAAAACATACTCGAAATCAATCATTAAATAAATTATTTTTTATTTCTACGAATGTTTTCTCATAAAAACGAAATGACAGTTCATTATTTTTTCCATGACAGGACTTTTATAAAAAGAAGAGAAAACAATATTACACTTTAATTTGCATGAAATTTCGAGAAATCAAAATACGGATGAATTGCATTATTTTCTACTGAATCATTTAACATCCAGTTTCCAATAAGCAGCTCATAAATATTTTACACTGATAAAGAAACAACTTTACTTAATTGTTATCTGTTTTCATTTCTATTCATGGAACCCATCAAATTCCCTTAATTTATTCAAGCCAACGAATCTAATTTATCATCTTCATTTTCAATGAGGGTGCGTGATTTATTTCTAAAAAAAAAAATCTATGATGAATATCAAATCCAGCCTGCATCCTGTTTATTCTTTAAATTTTTTTTCTTATTAGGTCAATATTAAAAACGTTTAACGGGTCAATAAGACGTTCATCAATACGTTCAGGCTGATCATAAAATAAAACAAAAGTATTATTAGCGTATTAAAGATCAACCAAAACATAAATTGTTTAATAAAGAAAAATATTACGTTGCCATTAAAAGGTAATTCCGCCTAACATGCAAAAAATTGGAGATGTTAAAATCAAGCAAGTACATTTTTAAATATATTGAAGTGTTTTAAAAGAAACGGATAGTGCGACACTGAAATCAGGAGGCGCATTCAGCTGATGCTATCGAATGATTCCCCCTATTTTTTCATTAATTAACAGGAAAATTTCCTTATAAATCAAAAAAGAGGATTGAACTGTTTTGTAATATAAAAAGTCCTTCTATATGACATGTTTGTTGAAAACGAAGAAATTTGAATGAAGCACAAATGTGGTTCTGCATTGAAGGATGATGAATTGTCCTAC